GATGATGGTGGTGATGATGACAGTGAGATGGTGGTGATGGTGGTGATGATGACAGTGAGATAGTGATGATGGTGGTGATGATGACAGTGAGATGGTGATGATGGTGGTGATGATGACAGTGAGATGGTGATGATGGCGGCGGTGATGGTGGTGATGGTGGTAATAGCTTGTGACAAGCTTGGCTCCACCTTGAGCATATTCTCAGCACTATCACCCTGGCTTGGCTCCAGCACCATCACCTTTCATCTGGATATAGATGCTATAATGTAGAACAACCATGTAGCTTTTGCATTTATCTCTCCTCCCATTTACACAGTCTAATCTCTGCATGGCAGTCAGAGTGGTCCTGCTAACATATCTGCTCTGATTATGGCCAGTGGCCACCTGTTACACTCAGAGTAAGTAAAAGGCAAAGTCCTTCAACTGGCCAACAAAGTCGTCCCATGGGCGGCCCCAGACTCTCAGATTCTGTTCTCCTTGTATTTTTCCCTCTTTTTACTGCAGCCATATTAGCCTCCTCCTCCTCCATAAACCTCAACACAACAGGTACCATCTAGCCTGAGAGCTCGCTTTCAGGGGTTGCCTGGGCCCTCTTCTCGGACTAAGCCCTCTCCCCCTTTCAGCAAGGCCCACCAGATTAGGACTCCAGCCCTACTCCTGACTCCACTCTTCTCGCTCTAGCTGTCATTTTGTTCTAAGTTTCTGCCTATCATTGGCTTGTACTACACCGTGTAATTTCTTTCTGTACTATTTATTATGCATCCCACCTCCTCCAGAATGTAAGTATCACATGGCTAGGGATCTTTGTTTTGTTCAATAGATTAAGTAAATGGATAATAGCTAGATATTCACTAGACAATTCTAAGACCAGATCAAAGTTATGGTTGAAGCAGAAGTAAAGATTCAGGGGAAAAATTGAACAAAGTACAGAAAACTACAATTAACTAATATTGGGGTATTTTTTAAGACCACACTAAGATAGAGGCCTCAGCAGTATAATTTCTTTCTGACTTTCTCCTCTGAACTTGTCCTGTTCTCTTGTCTCTTGCTCATAAAATCTAACCTTTCTCTCCCCCAGGTCAGGTCAGGAGAACTACAGCCTCTTTTCCCCAAAGGCAGCCATAATCCTGGAAAGAATATTCTAATCTTCCTCTACCTTTGTCTTGGAGGGAGCCATAAAGAAATTCTCTGGCCTACCTTGCCTGGTAAACCAATCAGGACAGCCTCCATTTCTGAAGGGATTCTACCCCAGGTGCAGAAGGAAGAAATGCTGCCCAGAGAGGCCAAGAACTCTTTGAACAGAGAGGCCCCTCTAGGTTCCAACTCGTTAGCATTAAATCACACACTTCTGTCCCACCCTATCTCCACACTGCTGTTCTTCACTGACCCTAAGCATAAACACAGATGGTTCATCTGGGGTCTTTGGATCTTAAATCTGAAGGCTCCGATGTCCCATAAAACTACGATCAAACATTAATTTCTTACACTTTTCTCTGGTTAAACTCTCTGCTGGTGTAGGGGTAGTGGCTGTGGCTCGTTAGGTGGGCAAGAAGGGGAGCCCCCTTCTGCCCCTACGACATTAGAAAGGAACTCATTCACAGCAAAGAAAGAAATGGAAAAATGAATTGAGTCTCTCTTGCTGTAGACCAGAAATGAGAAAACCTCCAGAGAAGCCTCCACTCTGCCACTTATTAACAGCACGACTTGGGGCAACCAAGGTCGTCAGTGGTCTGTGGCGCAGAATGCGTTAGAAGCCTCTGTGCTCTAATCCATAAAGTAACCATACATTGCTTTCTTATCTCCAGGAGTTATTGTCAGGCTTATAGGTAAATTAGAAAGTGCTTTATAAATATGAGTTATTTCAACATGCTGGTGTTTAGATACTGGCTCACATCGGCTTTCCTTGGCTCTTAATTGGCAATTGGCAGTTAGCACATAAAAAGCCCTTGAGCAGTTCTCAATTAGAAGAAGGAAAATTGATCCTTCTTGCCTTAGCTCCCTCAGTAAACCCGGAAAAGTAAGTGGCTGAAGGGAAAGACCCTCAGTGTTACTGCAGAGTACCAGCAGCACGGCCTTCCAGACGCAACACACCCATAGTTTTCTTCCTAACTGGCAAAGAAAGATCATGGAACGTGCCCAAAGACGGAACGTATCTCCCAAGTGATGACAGATCACTCTTAGTAAAGTCCTACATGACAAGGCTTTCTTTATCTATTTCAACTCCTTAATTGCACTGTTCATTAGCAAAGATATCAATTAATTGACCAATAACTGATGTTTTAAAAACTCAATGATTAGATAAGTAGCCAGAAGCCAGCTGTAATTCATCTACTTCCCGTATTTAAGGTCTTTGGGCTAACTTTACATTTGTTTTATGAAACTGATACAGTAAAATAGCTTTTCCATGAAAGTTTTAAAATATATTAGAAGCTTGATGTAAAAATCTGTAAACAGAAATAAATAAATATGCAAAGATTAGCAAGGGGCCCCTCTGACATATTTTACTCCAGAGATGTTTCTTCTGGTTTGAGTTGTGCTAGTGCCCTCTAGCGGTCATTACGGTGTGTGCAATTTTATTAAGTGTTCAAAAGTGCCCGGCTGACCACTACCCCTAAAAAGAAAAAGAAAAACCTCAGCCTACCAACAGCATTAGAATTATCATTTTTTTTACAATGCTACGTATAGAATAGAATAAAATATAGAATAAATTAAAGAAAATAAATCGTTCATCATAGTTTGAAAAATCCTCTTTGTACCTTATGGAATCTTAACATTTTGAGAAAGATATTACAGCTGGTATTTTTTTGCCTTTCAGGATCATACATGGAGTTGAAAATTGCATAAAAGCCATGGAACTGTTTTATCAGCAAAAAATATGTATGCATCTATAAGTCGGATGTTCGCATAACACCTGAAGGCCTTGCATCTTAAATTAAAGGCTTGGGGTTTATCTAGCTCTATATACTCCCCAGTTTCCCCAGGTTAAAAGCCTGTTTGAAGCCAGGCTTGGTGGTACAGACCATTAATCTCAGCTACTTGGGAGTCTGAAGCAATATTGCAAGTTTGAAGCTAGCACGGGCAACTTAGCCGTACCCTGTCTCAATAAAAAAACTTTTTAAAAGAGCTTGGGATGTGGTTCAGTGATGGAGGGCTTGCCTGGCATGTAGGAGGCTCTGGCTTCAATCCCCAGTACTGAAAAAAAACTCAACTAAAATGTTGTGTTTAAAAATCAGTTGGAGAAGGATATATACTGTTTGGCAATATGTAAGATCAGATTAATCAGATTATAGCTTCTACACATACATCGTAGAAATAGGCAAACTATGGGCACTGAATTTATGACTGGGGTTACCTCCAAGAATAAGAGAGGGTAACAGGATAGCGGAAGAATAAAGTTGGACTCCATTGCATCGATTGTGTATTATTTCTTCAGAAACTATGAAAGCATGCATGGCATCATATCACTTTAATAAAATTTGGTAGATATATAGATAATATGCTTCCATTATTTTATTTTCTATTCTTATCTATATATGATGCATTTCTAATTTTAAAATATTCAAGCCGGGTGTGGTGGCGCATGCCTGTAATCCCAGCACTCGAGAGGCTGAAGCAGGAGGATCATTGCAAGTTCGAGGCCAGCTTGGGCTACAAAATGAGCTCAAGACCAGCCTGAACTGCACAGAGAGACCCTGTCTCAAAAAGACAAAATACATAAATAGATAAACAAATAAATAAAATATTCAACAAAAACAGATTATCATATTTCAATACATATGATATCATTCCATTGCCATGGATAAATGTTAATTTTCTAAAACATCCAAGTAAAACTTATTGCCTGAGAAACATATTCTATATGGTATAAAATCTCTCAAGCTTATTTTTAAATGCAGGTTAAAATATTAATGTTAAAAAGGAAGCCATTGTTCTCATCCCAAAGTCCTTTAGTAGAAAGGCTTTCTTTCTGTGGTTATAATTTGATTTCTTGATAGAGAAGGAAGAAAAGGGAAAAACTCTTCTGAAACGAAAGCTGTAATAACAAAATTTTCTATCGATTCATATTCATTATACTGCAAAATATAATGAAAGTTTAGATAAGGTATTGTTCTCTTTGGGGATTTCATATATAATAAAGTCAGCGTGAAGCCAACTATGTCATTGCCTGAGAGTCTGAACCTAATAGCCGCTTAATTGATTCCTGCTTGCAGCTGCCTGCTGCCTGGGCTGCGGGAGCATTCAGAGGCTGCCTCTCCGCACAGCCGTGACAGTGCAAAGCAGCAGGCCGGACTTCCCCTGATTACACGGAACGCTGTGGAATGAGGCGGTGCCAGCCACCCGGAAGGCCGGTAGGGACAGGAACAGGAGCGTTTCGGAGGTCACCTCTGCACTGATAACCCGGAGGTGGGACAGTACGCATTGTTGGCCTCTGGAGTCAGAGTGAAGCTCCAGCCTCTCCCTGCCCTCCTCCACCCTCGCCTCTTAAGGGAAAACAATGTTAATTTCTGAGGACTTTGCTGGGCCAGAGTGTTGAGGCTGACGGCAGAACTTCTGGTGGGAAGTCGCAAAAGGTGGAAACCTTTTGCTTCTCTGTGTTCTCGGATTGGATTCAGTTTCTCAGAGGCCCTGTCCTTGTTGACTTCTCTCATGAACGTGACTTCACCATCGGCTGCTGTACCCTCCCTCTGGCTTCTCCTGAGCTCTCACCACGAGCCCGCCCCCTACTTCCAGCCTTGCAAACGCAGACCTGGTCTGGGACATAGCGTTAGACCGCCTCACTCTTAATCTTAGGGGAGATTCTCTATCCCAACACCTTCTCCCTTCTTTTGCCACTAGAGGGAGAAGAACTGGGGGAAATTCTGGGAAGCTTCGGACAAAAATACATAGGAACGTATTCAGTCCTATTTACTCCAAAAAAGGTTGTGAGGTCTAGGGACTCCAAATAGGATTTTGGTGCCAAACACAAATACTAAGAAACAATATGCCTGGGTCCTCATAATTCTGTGTGTCTCCAGAGGGAAATCTTGTAGACCTGGCTGTTTAAGGATTTGGTTGTCTTGAATCCAGGCCTAATAACAACTCAGAAATAACTGATTTATCCTATTGACACAGTGTAGGATAAGATGAAGATTAAGGATCAAAATAAATGAAAGTGGCAACATCCCAAAATCCAACAAGTGCAGAACTATCAATGAGTATTCTTTTTTTTTTTATTTTCATCTTTTTGAGACAGGGTCTCGCTATGCAGTTCAGGCTGGCCTTGAGCTCACTTTGCAGCCCAGGCTGGTCTCAAGCTCATAGCGATCCTTCTGCCTCAGTCTCCTGAGTGCTGGGATTACAAGCGTGCACCACCACGCCCAGTTCAATGAGTATTAAATACTTCCTAAACACATAAATTACATCTCTGAAGACAACGATATTTTAAGTTGCTTTATGCTTCAGTTTATCTAGTAATAAAGTAGGCAAATACTTAGATTACAGGGCCAACATAGTTTACCATCCAATATTTTTTAAGGCAAATAACCTTATCTTCCCAACATGGGAGCTCAAACTGTGGCAAGTGTTCTACCACTAAGCTATATCCCCGCCCCATCTTACCCACACTGAGTGAGAATTCACTTAGAATATCCTTCTCAGGAGGCAGAGGTTGACATTTAACAATTCATTTTCAGAAGCAAAGGAGTATGCTGTAGTTAATTCAAGAGTTGATTCCTAGAGAGGCATAAATGGAGTAACGTACAGGAAAACATCCCCTTTCCTTAGCTAGCTGGAATACACTGAGTGGCTATAAAGTCACCCATGGGTTTATGCATGTCAAGCAATAGATTATTAGCAGCCAACATGTAGCCAGCATCTCAAAAGCAGAGCTTGAAAAGCTAGATTGTTTTCTTTTAGTGATAAGCAACTTCTTCAAGCGTCCTCCTGATGAGCATATAAACAGCACCCTTCTTCTCCTCAGCCCAGGTGACCTGACAGAATAGCCAGAGGCTGGTCCCAGGAAGATGAAGCCCAGTTTGAGCTAAAGATGGCTGGAAGTAACAAAGTAAGTAGTACATTATCGCTCTGTATTCATGCTTCCCTCTGATCTTTACTATAAAAGAACATTTGTACATAGTGAGAAGGTAATTTGAGGCAGCTGCACCCCTCTGTCTCCTCAGAGCTGGTTTGAATAATCATTTTTCCTTTTTTTTTTACCAAAATATGTGGTCTCCTTTGACTTGGTCAGCGGTAAGCCAATGAACCTGCTTGGCTGATAAGTTTTGGCGTAGCCAGCCGGGAGACAAGTCCTGGCTCCTAAGAGCCATGAATCCAGGCAGGCGCTTAGAAAGAAGGGACTTTATGTTAGCTATCCAGGGCTTCAAGCCAGTGTGGAATTCAAGCTTTTGAACTGTTTTCCTGAAAGCAAAGTTTGGATTAAAAGACTAAGAGGCTAGAGACACAGGGATGGGCCTAGAGATCAGCTGGAGAATTCTAGATACTTATGAATTTTTTAAAAAAGGTAATTTTATAATTGGAAGTGCACTCTGATTTCACGCAACTGTACTTAAGAAGAGTCTTTGGAGTAACCTTGGCCAGGACAATGTCCATAGCTCTTCGCTTGCCCTCTCCTGGATTAGCGGCAAGTACGAGCAAGCGCCTTCTGTACCACTGACCATGTTTGTTCGTTAATGTTGGTAAGTTTCTCACTGGGATTTAAGTTCCTCCTTGCTTTTCTGCTAATTATCCTTGGTTCATTCTAAACTACTTGTGCTTCAAAATATTTGTAAAAACATCTGTTGGAAGTTAATTCCTTTCTTCTGGCTGCCTTCATTCCTACTTTAGAAAAATAGAGACATATAACCACATGTTTTTTGTGGCACGGAGTATTCTTTCTAAAATGGTTTCTTTTCTCCATAGCAGAGGCCTTATGCAGTAGAGACTGGATAAGGTGTGGAAACCTCTGACCGGCTATATCTAAATTTTAGTACAATGAAAAATGTCTTAAAACCTGGCCCAAGAGCTTTTAAATTGACTAAGACTTATAATAAGTTAAGACAAAACACAAATTCAAACTCAGATTAATTAACTGAGCAACCAATCTCTCTTGAGATATATATTCTCACCTGGCTACAACCAGGAGCCCTACTTTAACACAAATTAAATTTAGAATTTAATGCAAATTTCGGATTAAGTGTTGCATAGGGCAGCAATAAAAGAAATCATGCTAATAGTGTAACTTTTTAAAATCTGGTAAGCGGTAGATTAAGTCTTTGTTTCATGTGCACAGCTTCATCTTACATGTTAACTTGTGCCTGAGTAAATATTGTCCACCCATATTGTGCTTCTTCCTAATTTCCTCAAAGAGCTGGGCGCATGTTTACATGGGTAATAACTGCCTCAACTCTGGAATTGAGGGCATTTAGGGCTGGGGCAAAACCAATCAAACAACTGGCAGCAATCTGTTAAAACCATGAGACACAGGGCACATGCACAGAACTCAGGATCCGGGATGACTCTACAGGTCCTGAACATTGAACATGGAACCGATCAGAGAAGAGCTATTTTCAATTCTTCGCTCACATCTGGCATGAAACCAAGTGGGTCTTTGATACAACAGTTTAAATCGGGCACCAGGTCAAGTGAATCTTTGATAGGACAACTACCCCAGCGCCTTATGTACATGAGGGGGACACCAATACAGGACTTCCAGATACAACACACCCCCTTGTCTTATCCTGTTGGATGCTGTGAGCCTGTTCGCTGGCCCACTCTCATTCTGCAGAGCATAATTCTTTCGCAGCTTCCATAAATGTACATCCCTGCTACCTTTTCTGTGTGTCTTGTCCGTTCTTTATTCAAGACATCAAGAACCTAGAAAAAGTTTCCCCTGGACAGACCATCCAGTAACATTTTCTTGGCAAGCCAGCCAGAGGTAAGACTTGTTTGGAAAAAGTTATTTTCTTTATCTCTCTTCTCTTTCCTGTTTGCTCGCTTGCTTGCTTTTTGTCACTCATCATGGGGATGAGTCAATTAAAATCCAGTAAGGCATCTGGCATTAACCTGGTCCAGATTGCACAATTTTGGACTTTACCAGTTGCAAGAATACACATCTAAGCACCATGTAGATCCGTGTGTGTGAACTAAAGTTTCATAGGTCTCTTTTGCTCCCACACTTGTGTTACTCCTAATGTGTTATCCAGATTTCTCATCTGTGTGGAGGAGAATAGCTGTCAGAACTTGGTCTCCTGCTTGAGTAGCCACCTTCCAGCTTACTGCTGTTTGCACTCACCATGAGCAAAGTCTCATCTGGGTTTCGCCCCTGGCTTGGCCTTTTGTCTCTGTATTTCTTTAGTGAGTTACTGGCTTTGGGGCCCCATTTCCTAAAACCTCAGGGAGCCATCCCAATTCACCATTCCACCATGTTTCCCAACTGTCTTTGCGGACATCAGCTAACCTTACCTTTATATGTCAGAGCTGTGGCCTCTATTTTTAGAAAATAGATAGGCCTCTTCCACTCTTCCCTTCTAAATCTGGGAGGGTTTCTTCTAATAAAAGTTCAGGTAGTTTAAAAACATGGGCCTGAGGACCTGAGCAGAACAAAGAGAAAAGACAATGAAAGCCAAACCAACTGGTTGTGAGTATGCAGAAGTAAAGCTGGAGTATCTTAGTCAATAAATAATAATCCCAAACTTTGTCTTTGGAACTTTCAAAGGCATTTTTTTAAAATGCTGAAGGATAGGCTCCTATCTTTACTATCTTAAAAAATAATTACCGAAGTCTTTTATTATGGGATAAGTGAAAGAGATACTATCTCTCAAGTAGTTAGATGGAGCCAGGGGTGGGTTCTAAGGAATTCCTAAGGAGTCATAGTAGACTGCAGGCTATAGAGAGGTCAAAAGAATGAAAGGGGTCCCCAGTGCTGCTTGCTTTACTAGAGACATCTGGTAGTACAATTCAAGTTTCATGGTGGATGCCCCAGAACTCCGTAGGTCTCTTTCCTTCTGTAGAGCTATCTTCAGAAAGACCCTGGACCATGTTTCCTCTCTATCTCTCTCTCTCTGTCTCTCTGTCTCTTTGTCTGTCTGTCTGTATGTCTCTCTCTCTCTCTCTCTCTCTCTCTCTCTCTCACTCACTCACTCACTCACTCCTTTCCTCCCCATAGGCCACATAAAGCACCACAGGAAATAACCTACAGATCCATAGATCCCACTGATCTCACCATTAGGCTCTATCATTTAAAACGTGGAAAAATTTGACCCTGACAGTAAAAAAAAGAACTTATCTTCTATTTGCAATACTGTTTGGCTCCAGTGTGAACTAGGAAACAGTGAGAGATAGGTGTAAAATGGTGGTCTAAATCACAGCACCATTCTTCAGTGAGGTCATTACTGCAGATGACAAGGAAAGTAGTCTGGAATCCTTTGTGTTTGGGCATTTATGGCTTTTTATCAAAAACCATCCCTTTATAAAGACCCAAGAAATATGTTATTTATTTAAATATGGTATTTAAAGAAGCATCTTCAGAAGAAAAGAATATCATTGATGCTCCCCTCCTCAAATCCCCTCCCCCACCTGTCCTTCAGGGGATATGGGTTTCCTGTACTTGTTTGATGAAAAAAACCATATTGGGAGGCCTCCTCAACCTCCTCCTTATAATCCTCAGGCCAGTGAATCACTCCCACCCTCTCCAAAGGACTCAGAAACTCCATCAGGGGCTAACTGCCCAGAAAACCCCAGTACTCTAGCCCCCTCCTATCCTTAGATAGATGTAAGCCCAGCAAGACATATTCAGAGTGGTATTTCTTATTCTTCTAACTCATTGTTCATCCTGAGCCTAAGAGAATCCTCAGAAATACAGGGACTACTTAAGTCCAGGTTCTTTTTTCAGTAGCAGATACCCAACAATGCAAAGAATATTTAGGCTAATTTTCAGAAAATCCTAGTAAGTTTGCAGATGGGTTTCAAACTTTGACCCTTGTTGTTGAACTCTAGGAGCAAATGTCATTTGTCTTCACCACTTGCTGTATTCCAGATGAAAGACAAAAAATCCTAGGAGATGCTGGGTGTGGTAGTGCAGTCCTGTAATCCCAGCCCTTGGGAGGCTGAAGCAGGAGGATCATTGCAAATTCAAGGCCAGCCTGGGCTACAAAGTGAGCTCAAGGCCAACCTGAACTGCATAGCAAGACTCTGTCTCAAAAAGACAAAGAAAAATAAAATCCTGGGAGATATGCAGATGAACAATATGCTGCAAAAAGATGGAAAACATGCCAAAGAGGTTACTGTCCTTCTGACAAAACCAAATTGGGACCGTGATACTAGAGATGAACTAAATATGAGGCCTACAATGATGACTGCTCTTATAATGGGAATAAAAAGATGCATTAAGAAACCTGTCAATTACAAAAATGTAAGACAGGTTATATAATGGACACGTGAGTTACGACCAGCCCACATAGGAACAACTTGGGCTGTAACCCAAATTTTAGGTTTAACCTACAACCAAAGTCTTGAGTTATAACCCAAGTGCTGGCAGCCTGTATGGTTGTAAACAAAGATGCAATGCCAGAACAGCCTATGCTGCACCTGTTAGCATACACAATCGCACATAAGTGGACACGCGTCAGTCTGAGCCCAGATGAGCATGTTTGTGGACATGTTTTTGGTCAGTGCTTTGCATAGTTGTTACCATCAAAACGGCCCCCAAAATGCTAGAAAAGAAGCTAAGGAAGGAAGGAAAGGGAAAGAAAACAATCACAAGAAGGAAAGGGAAAGAAAACAATCACAAGAAGAACAGTGTTAAAGCAAGAACAGACAACTTTAGGTCAGTTTTTAGTTCTGAAAAAGCTGAGCTCTAGTGAGCCACAGCAAGTCTAGTGGGCCACAGACTCTTCCAAGGGGAAAAAGGACACCAGAGACCAGGTTCCTGCTGTTCTTAGGGAAGGGGACGCTCCTTCCAAACAATAACCACTTCCATTCCATCCTCCCCTCCTGCAAGCCAAAGACGCCAACTCGCATGGTGAGTACAGTATGGAATTGTTGTTTCTGGTAAACCAGGCACATTTT